AAGTATTCTTAGTTAATATGTTTTATAATTACTTTTTAAAAATAAAAGTAAAATAAAAATAAATGTATTATATGACATTTAAAAAAAATTATTAAATTTAAATATTCAATATTAAAAAGTAATTTTAATAAAATTGAATAGAGGAGGTAATTAATGTATTGGTGTTTATTAGGGATTTGGTCACGAACTGTAGTGATTAGAGGTAGAGGTAAAAATTCTCACCGTCTCCATTTGCCAACTCAGTGCCAAAACGATAAAAATGGTAAAGGGTTAAGCCAACCATCATCCCTCTACTTTTGATTTTTATTCATGTCCATCCCTCTACTAAAGATTTGTTCATTATCATCCCTCTACTTCACCAAAAGCATTAAGTGTCGTCCCTGTACTCCAATTATTTTGTTCACTGTCATCCTTTTTCTAACGGAGTTGCCTTAGTCGTCTATTTGAACCGTTTAATCCACAAACGGTCAATTGTCAAAGCATTTCTTGGATTTTTTTTTTTTTTTTATATGTGCTGCCAACTAGAGGAGAGAAGCACCCTTTCGTTAATGTCCTGCTCCACTTCCTTTTTCAAATTCAATCATTTATGTTGTTAATCTATTTGTTTTTAATGTTAAATCTTATTTCTTATATTTATTTGTTTTTACAGTAATTCACATTTAACCCAACTATTATGAACTAGCAATTTTTAGTTAGAGAGGTGAACTACATTTAATACTACTATATAATGTATTAATAAGTAAACATGTTGAGTTGATAAATTGTGATGCTTTAAATTTTATATTGACCAAAAATGTAAATGTAAATATTTATTATTACTGATAACTTAATGTTAAATTTTATGTGTTTATAAAGTTAGCTTAAAAAGGTTGTTAAGATTATTTTAATGAGTTTTCTTAATAGGTTTTAAAACACATGTTAAGGGTATATTTATCATTTTTTTTTACAATTTATATAAAAAAAATTATGAAAGTAAATTTTATCTTTAATATCAATCTCACTTGAAATATTTTAATTAAATAGTTAATAAAACAATAGTCAATTTTTATTTTTTCATACAAATTAATGATGAAAAGATGCACATGTTGAAAAAGTTCTTTTTTAATAGAGGGCCTTTCTAATATGATCTATTAAATATAT